CGAAGTCAGGCCCGACTACATTCTGACTACACACGTCGTCAGAATGATGTCAGATGATGTCAGCCAACCCCATCAATTTTAGCTTTTCCTTCCAAGACAGAGATTATCACGCCCTGCTTGGCAGGGATCCTGTACAAGCTTGTTATGTACAAATGGACAGTCAGCAAAGTAAAGATCAGGCCCTGGTCTTAACTTTGTCCTGGCGAATGTCTGTGAAGCGCCCTGCTTGGCAGGATAGCTTGTACACAGCTTGCTATGTACAAAGCAACAATTCTTTCCAGAAAGAGTTGTTGCATGAGTAATGTTTATCCTTCAGTCTGTCGCAAACACCCTGCTTGGCAGGGATTTCCTATACAGCGGACAACCCGCCAACATGACCTGCGCAATTCCTTTGACACAATTAAGTATGCTCAATGATAGCGCATGTATACAGCCATCAAAATGAACCGAATCAAAAAATCTATTCAAAAAGCAAAATTGATCAGAAAAAACAAAATCTATTCAAAAAACCAAGAAAAACATCCAAAAAACAGACTTTACAAAAAAAAAACATTTTAAAAAAAAAACAAGGCTTTGTAAGTATGCTTAAGCGCGCAGTAAGTTAGAATAACTTGTTTTTGCAAAATCTCGATTCAGAAGATATAAAACACTTACAAACAGAGCATGTGCACTGTATCTAAGCTTAAGTGCTGCCGAACACTTACTGCAGCTTGCGCAGTTTTAGACAGATGTATAACCTCAGTTACACTATAATATAACGTCAGTTAGGTCAATATATACCTAGGGTTAAGTTAGCCCGTCCATGTGGTATGAAACACTTGGTTCGAAGCCTTCCCATCGCACCTGGTCAGGAAATCGCGCGCCCACCCACAGAGTGTTGCGCGTGTGCCAACTTCGGCGAATCAACGCAACTGAAACTTTGAGGAGGCGTATTCAGACGCATGTATGTGGTCGCGCTGGAGAACGCTTCAAATCATTGTTGACCTTTGTCCAATCCTCGGCCGACAAGCTCCACGGCGGAAGGTGACTTGGTCAGCTATGACAACAAGTCGGCGCTTTCACTCTGCCAGAGAGATTGTGGAGCATCGAGGGCTCATCGCCTGTGGCTTTGCGTCTTCGTCAGAAACCATGCGCAGGTCCTCAGGCAGGTTGGATGGCCTTGCCTGCCTCAAAGCAACCACTCCAGAATGGGTTTGCTTGGCCATGAGCTGGCTGGAGGAGGCTGCCTGCCGACCACAGGTCTTACCACCGACGCTGGATGGGCCCAGCGTTGGGCTCATAACCTGCTTGCGGAGCAGTGCTTTTTACGGCGCAAAAAGGTCTGCAGTGACATGATCTCACGTCAGAGTTCCACTGTGACAAATCCTCGAGTTCGAACGTTGCAAGAAGTGAGTGAACTGCATGATGCAGGATGGAGGGAGTGAGAGCAGTATTGGGGAGTAATATCTTTTTCACGTGGCGATGAAACCCATGAAATATCAAGGGGAAAGAGTGTTGAAAGAATGGAATCAAGAAACAAATTCTATATGTTTCATCGTTGCTTGAGGAAAATTTCAAGCTTTCTTTGGGGCTGGACACTGACCATGTATCAACATTACATAGTGTTTCTTCTTGCACTTGTGACCATGGCAAGTCTTTTCTTTTGTGGAAGAAGCATGTAAATGTTGGTTCACTCAAGGTTTGTTGGTTGCACCTTGTATGTGTTTTGCTGCAACTGTTTTTCCTCCGAGGCAATGAGCCAATGGGTTTATCAAGCAATATTGAAGCCTTTCAGGTTGATATAGCTAGTTAACCAGACACAATTGAAAACGTACAGATGCCAAAAGCGTTGGTGGCCCAATCAGGTTTTCCAGGCATGCCCGTTGGTTCGGACGTTTGTTTCACATTAGTTTCATTGCTCACTCAAACCATGTTTGCAGACAATACCAAAAGCACTACGTTTGCTGCCCCCTTTAATTCCTAGAAAGAAAGACAAGACAGCCTGAATTTTTCAAGCATAACTGTTATAGCAGTTGTATTGCCGTATTTGCCTCACTCTCAAAAGTACCATCGGATTTTTCCCAGTCACGTTCACTGCTGGTCTGAAAATATCAATGGTTTGCGACCCGTTTCTGCTGCATGTGCTCGGCACAAAGCTATCTTGTTTGAGAGTGAGACAGGACTTCGAAGGTGCACGGGGAGACGAATCAACGCATTAGGTATTTTTGAAGATGCGAATCATCCATTTTCTCATGAGATGTGGAACCATCGACGCCTTGCAATGATTTGGGGTGATACAAGATCGGCATAAACAGCTGAAACTCGGAATGCGCCACATTTCTTCAGAATCCTCATACAGTAGTAAGAATGCTCCTAGTAGCGATGGCAGGAGCCCCGTTCGTAGCGTCCTTGCTCCTAGTAGTAAGGCCAAGAGCCCCTACTAGCTTCCCTCATGCAGGCCTTTCTGGTGAGAAACCTTGTTTTTGCATACGCGTGCAACGCCATGGGCAAGTATCACATTTCTTTCGCCACAGGGCGACGCAACGCAGTTTCAAGTTTTTCATGTTCCAAACCCCAAAGATGGAGGCGTTGTTCCAGACGGTTTGAGCGCCAGCTTTGGCAGCATTCCTGTGGTGGGTTCAGATTGGTTGGCCAAACGAAACCAACTTGCAAAAAATGAAGAGTTCTGCCAGTGCAAGGTTCGAGCGCTAAAGTTTATTCAGCCTTTGAATACAACACCAGGAACTAGTGGAAGCAGCTGCAGATTCTTTCGGCGGCAGGTCACAGATCGTTTCCGCCGGGTTCTTTCTTGGTATGCAACTCAATCAATCCGCATGAGTTAAGGAGAGCATTGAATGAGTTGGTTTCTTTGTGACTTACAAAGCAAGGGCGAGACCTGTGTGGATCCATACTGCTAACAGAAGTGACACCTGAGGAGCCCTCACGCTTGATTCCTTTCACAACTTTTGAGGGCTCCAGAGCCGTGTCACCACCAGTTCTCTTGGAGCCGCATGTCCCCGCCCGATGTGCACCCAAGACCACGTTCCTTGTGCGTTTGAATCATTTGTGAAGGATACATCTCTTAGAGACCTCATTTGAAGCAAGCCTTGTGGTGCGCTTTTGGATCACGGCAATCACAAGATGCTGTTTTTCTATCCTGGTCATTCACAGGCTGCAACGAAACGAGTTTGTGTTTGCACTGGTCATTCAATTCACAGGGGTCTACCCACTCAAGACTTGCACACTTTGATCTTGAAATTGACTTGCCAATGTGGAAAAGCCTTGTGTAAGTGCGGTTGCAGGAATTGCGCTGCTAGCTGCACTCGAAAAGGTGTCGGTCGACGACAACGGTCGTGACAGCCTCTCAAACCGGCCACGGCCGGATGGCGACAACTGAAGTGCCCAACAATCCCAACCGAAAAGACCAATGCAGTCATGAAATGAGAATCCCAAACCTATTGCACCACTTGACCAAACAACAGGCACGAAAATCCTCAGCAGTCGTGTGTTGCAGTGATGGGTTCTTTGACAAATTCCAATCTAAGTTCTCAAAAACAAAGAGCGTTTTTTGGTGAAACAGGAGTTAGCTATAAAGCTACCATATAAGGTCCACGCGCTAGTTGTAAGCAGTCAAGATATTGCAGGACCTCCCCGAACACATGGTTTTAAGCACATTCTGTAAGCTTTGTGCCGGATGACGGGCCCTTCCTGCTAAACCGTTGCACGTCTCTTCAAGCAGCGCACTAGAGAACATGTCTCTATAGGTCATGTTGTGTGCGTTTTGTGTGTATGTTTTCCCGGCTGCGATATGCTGCCAGTACACTAGCTTCTTTCGACAAGGTCCAACAGCCATGAATAAATGTCGTGGTCCATCCTTCGGAGAAGGACGGCCCTGGAACCTTCGGAAAGAAAGGCTCCGGCTGTTGTTTTTTTGTGTCGATTTGCAACGGTTCGACACTTGGAACATCTTGGAACGGTCACCCAATCCCGGCCGATGCGGCCATGGCAGCCATTGGCCAAGTCTTTAGGTCCAAAATCAAAGACCCAAAATCAATACGCTCAAAGACCAAATTTGCCCAAGAATTGGTGAACTGGCATTCATCCAGGTGGTAATGATTCCAAATGATTCCGTTGTTTGACTGGGATGTTTTCATTGTTTGAGTTCGGCAAAACATAAAATGTTGGAGGTGTCTAGATCTTGTATTTGCCCCAGAAATTCTGCGGATGAGTCGGATGAGGCTTTGTTTGTAGGGCTTAGCAGGGATCTCAGAGTTGCAACTCTTGAGAAGCTTCTCAGCTGTGCTCGCCTGCAAAGCCCAACATGGCCTACAATCCATGTGGACGAATGCAGGCACCAGGGAACTGTTCCATATCCTCTTCCTTACCCAGCAGCTTTGGCAGATGCTCATATGAGCGATACACATACCAGCTGGCTACCGATGATGCTTTCCTTTGAGGTGAAAAGAATTGAAACGTGAGATTCTGTCGGAAAGGCAGGTTTGAGTAAGTAGACCTCAATACGATTGGCAGCTCCTGTCCACAATTCACCCTCGCTCCTCGGCCGATCAACTGCAGAGTCCTATCAGAGAGACTCCGGAAGCCAACGTGGCATTCTGTGGGAGCCCTGGGTGCAGCCTTTCGCCAGTCGATCTGCCGTTGATCATCCGTTTTGGCCTTGACCTGGCTGTGGTTCCTGTGGCTGATGCTGAGGTGGCTGGCCTCCTTGGCCTTGTTGGCCTGGCTGGGTCTGTGGCTGTAGCTGGGTTTGCCATTGTGGCTCCTGGATGTGGCCTGGCTGGGCTTGCACTAGCCCTTGGCTTGGAGGTTGCGTTAGCGTTTTCGCATGTTTGACCACACAGCTTTCAAGTCTTTCACTGTGTGTTTCTCTAGAGATGCCAGGGCGTATTGAAGCCTTTCACGACCAGGCAGTCCTCAAGAGAATGGTGCGGAACATTTGGTTAAGCAACTTGTTCTTTGAGATTGGGATGTAATCAGTGAGAGTAGTTGTGTTGCAGATTCTGTGCCATTGCTCCTCGGTTTGCACTTGGTCGCAAGTGAACCCAAGCCCCTCTGAGCACAGACCTCACACAGGTTTCGGGGTGTTCACCGTTGGTGTTTTCAGTTCATCTCACTTGGTGAAGCAGCAAACCTGTGTGGCAGAGCTGCGGCCATCCCCTCGGCCGGTGCACAGTGAGGCCTTTTCAAGCCCACTCCTCCAAGAAAATGGTACGGCAGATATTGTTCAGAAACCTGTGTTTTGCGATTGGGATATAGCTGGCGAAAGGAATGATGTTGAAGATTGCCCTCACATTTGATATGATGGCCATCTTGCAGACATGCAACCATCGTGATTTGGCTGGATGCAGAGGAGTAATCATGGCAACATTTCTTTCACCCCTAATCCTGTTGAAATCTTGGATGGAGAAGGGGGGCCAGGAGGGCTTTGTGGCTTAAGAGATCCCACATGCATTTAGCACCAGTGGCAGCCTTGGATCTCTGAAGTGTCTTTGCCAAAGTAGGTTGGAGGCCATTGCTATTAGGAAGTATACGACTTCAAGACCAATGAAATCCAAGCAATCCGCCGGCGTTTTGGGGAGTAAACTGCACGGCAGGCTCATGCAGAGTGCTCAAACCCACAACGGTCCAACTATTTTGGGAAGCAAGTTTTCTTCCCTGCAATTTTGGATCTATGCGAGGGTTTTGGCATCCACGGACTCCTCAAACGCCCAGGAATGAGTTTGTGTGAGGCAAAACATATACTAGAAGACTTTCATTGACCAGCCCGCTGACCATTTGGTAAAAACAGGGGACCTGATTCCATGTGCTTTTGAAACGGTTTGTCTTCCTTCTGCCGGAATAGAGCTGGCAATCCACACCTTAAATCAGGCCTGTGCTGCATGTGAGCAACCAGCAGCTGCAGGCGGCAAGTCTTCGCCAGAAGGTTTTCACAATTTCGAATCGCCACGGTCCCGATGTCTCCTTGAGTATTTGTTTAGAATATCGCAAAACCATTCCTCTACTTCAAGTTTTGCCGCTGTATGAAACAATACACTCCACAAATGATCTAGCCGTCCTTCGTGTTTCCAGGTGACATGGCTTGAAGCCCTGGGCAGTACTTTCCTTGGGCAGTAGATACTTTTGCGTGCTGCATTTCTAAACCAAACCTGGAGGGATGGAATCTGAGGAAATTACATTGGTTTCCCTAGTGCCAGTCATGGTGGTTCGCAGCAGCTGAAAGCCATCCGTCCAGATCTGTATGGAAGATGGATCACACAGGATGTTCAGCTGGCCTGTCGCGATGCAGTGGCACAATCAACAAAATCAACAGGGATTCTGAGTCCAAGTGCATCGCTAGTAGTAACAAGAAGCTATTAGAAACAAGAACGCTACTAGGAACAGGTGCCACGCTACTAGGAACAAGTGCATCGCTAGTAGTAACAAGAAGCTATTAGAATTAAAGTAAATTAGTACACTCAGATGATCGCATAGCACCACCGAAGCCGTCGTTCTTCGGAACTCCAGATTGCTCTGTTGGTGGAGCTTCCAAGACAGGCTACAAAATGCTTGTCGAAGCACTGCTCACATGTTTGGCCAGAGTTGCTTGGTACAGGCTGCAGGGTGCTTAAATCAGACACTGCAGGGTCCGGCTCAAGATTTGCCTCCCGTGCAAACTGTTTTGCCAGGCCTCAAAAGAACCTTGGAATTTATGTTGGAAGGCTATTAGGTTGGAGGCCATCGCTATTAGATGGAGGCCATCGCTCTTACGTTGGAGAGTAGAATGGCATCGCAGCAGTTTCTCGTACTTTTTTCGCCGTTCGTTTGAAAACCCCTTTCGGCGGTGTGCTACATAGAGCCCCTTCATTTGAGACCTTTTGCCGTTTGCGATTTACTTCTACTGCTGCGCTTTGCAAAGTAATTGACCTTGAACATTCATAGGCCAACTCAACCAGTTGAAGCTTTGCATGCATTTCAGTTGCTTGGTGCACAACATGCCTCACGGACCCACGTGAAACCTTATTTCTCCGTATGTGTAGAAGTCGCTCAGTGGAAGAAGATTGAAACGGGTTCACTTGATGTTTGGTGTTGGAATATTCTTGCCAACCAGAGAACAATCGGCAAAGTTCACGGAACAGGCTATTCCTGTTGATACCATTCGTAAGCTCTATGGGGAATGGGAACTCTTGAGTGCAGATCCAATAGTGTTGCGAACAATAAGTGACCCGTATAAATGGGCAAAAGCACTGCGTGAGGCTTGTCGACTGAGCCTGTGGAAGTGAAAGAAGTAATTGTTGAAAAAGGCTTGTGTTCTTGTTACTAGTAGCAAATTAGCTAGTTACAAAGGGCATTTCTACTAGCAAGAAGCTACTAGTAGCTCCTGCAGGTGACATTGGTCCGCATGGCCGAAAGGCGCCTGTCCAAGCCTCTGAGCAATGCTGGAAGATGAGGACAAGTTGAGAAGCCATATTGAGAGACGGAAGGGCCTAAAGAAACCTAAACAGCGATGGCCTCCAACCTAATAGGAATGGCCTCTGCACAAATGTTGGAAAAGTTGAGAAGCTGTCGGCCTGGCCAAAAAACATGTGTCCAGTGTCCACGGCGGCTGAAGCTTCAGCTGCTTTGGTTCACTGAATCCAGGTCAGCCGTCAAGACTTTCTTGAACCAAAATGACAGATTGGGTCGTATATGTTTGGCTAGTAACAAGTGCATCGCTTCTAGTAACAAGTGCCTTACTAGTAGTAACAAGAGGCTACTAGGGGCTTCTGGCCTCGCTACTAGGAGCAAGAAGCTATTAGGGGCGTATATGTTTGGCAAGGTCTGGAGTGAATTTCTTGTCTTGTTGAGTCGTGCATCAAAACTGAAGATGCTTTTTAGATAGTTAAGCAACAAGCTTCTCATCAGGTTAGCTCAAACAGGCCAAAGCTGCGCTGGCTTTAGCAAATCGGGGCAAGACCCTGATGTGTGGAAGCCATGCGTAACATCCCAAGTAGAGATGAATCTCCAGCGTTCAGGTGAAGATGTACAAGGCATGTGCACAACCCAACTCGTGGCCGAAGTGCCACTGCAGAGACTGCATATGGTCTTTTGTTTGCGCGGCATGTTGTTTGCAGAACTGGAAATCTTGGCGCCTGCAGTCTACGTGAGTAGACCGAAAGCAAATCCACGTGCCTCAACCCGAAGCGCACATGTTTGGACCAGAAAACGCGGCCAAACAAAGAACCCACGCAGCATGTGCTTGAGGGTTGTGGGAATGAAGACAATTGGCTTTGAAAGTAGGGCGCACATGCAGGCACAGCTTACTTAGGATCGCTGCAAGCTGTCCAGGCCAAAGACATCTGAGACACTCACTCTAGCACTGCTTTCACGCAAACGCAAGTCAGCACAGCACTCCAAGAACTGTCCGCAGTTACACCAGAAATGATGTCGACAAGAACAAGCCAGCAAGCTACCTATGATGTACAAAAGCCAAAGAAGATACAAAGGCATTGAACAATTAGTGATCAGTACTATAAGTTGGAGGCCGTCGCAAGTAGGGTGGAGGCCATCGCTAGAAACGAAGAGACTACTGTAGATGTCATTCGATTATCCGTCCTTTGAGGGGGATCCTTCAAGACTTCCGCAATACCGGCTTCCATGCTCGAATTCCGTCGAGGAATTCTTCAAGGTTTCTGGGGCTGACCAGTGCTCCAGACAAGGTGCCTTGGAAAAGCTGCAGGATGGTCAAAACCTCCAGTTTGCGGCAAGCACAAGGCTTGGACAATGTTGACAGCTTCGTAGAGACAAGTGTGTTCTGTAGCGATTTGTCCAACCATGCACATTCCCGAATCAAGAGTTACGATCCCTTTCTCTACTTCAGATGTCAAATTCCACCCCACCTCGATCAATTCCAAAGGAGAAGAGCTCTTGTTTGCATGTCTTTGGCGGCGGCTTCAGCTTCCTCAACGGCATCGCTGCACCTCTCCCATTGTCATCATTTTGGGAGCAAGTTGTGCCGAATATTGAGTTTCAAGCAGTTTTAGCGCTTTTGCTACCGGAGGATGCAAACCTGTGATGCGAAATAATAGCACTTCCAAGCTTCAAGTCATCCTTTCTCGCATTAGTGTTCCGACATATCTTGGAAAGCCAGTGCAATAGACAAGTTGGCCAGCTGCAAACTAAAGCCTCGTGAAGCCGACTTTCCATGTTGGTTCCTGTGCCCTGTTGCAATTCTGAGTTTTCATAACATGCAAGGCCTGCTGAATCTTCATCATTCAGTCAGCTGCACCTGAGTGACAACTGCAGAATGACCGTCAGGGCGGCAGCGGCATTTGATGAGTTTCTCAGCCATGCTCGCCAAAGCCACACGTGGCCAAGAACCAATTTGTACAAGACCAAGCGCCCAAAGGCATTTGGCCTTGCTCAATGGCTACTTCCCGCAGACAATCCCCTAGTCGCACATACAGCGGAGCTTCCACCCAATCCATGCTTGAGATGTGTGACTAGCGCCACTTGTATCCACTTATTCCATGCATTTGTTGCCGTCAGTTGCATTCAAGCTCGCAAGAACGGAGCTTCTTTGCATTCGGGTTGCACGGGTTCTTTCAAACGAAGGATAGGGTGCATTGGCCAAAATGGTTGCATGAGGGTGCATTGGCCGAAACCCCTCGTTCTTCAAGATGCTGTGGTGTCATCCTTCACAAGCAGCCGGTTGATGTCGCATGGCAGATTCTCGATGTGGTTCTGTCTGAAGTGACTTTGAAGTGTTGTGTTGCCATTGAACGCCCCCAGAACTTTGAAAGTCTGCCTTTTGAGCGCGGTTTGCACGGAAAAATGATGAAGGTCCATTGTGGGTCTGCATGTTGTTTACAACACAGTCCTGAGGCTGGCCAGGTTCGCATGTGTTGATTTTTTCTTTAGACCTTGTTTTGTCTCTCTTGTGTTCAAACGTTCCTTTAGACCTTTTCTTCGCACCGTGTTTTTTTCTTTAGACATGTGTTTCCTTTGTTTTTCCGCTTTGTTGGACCTGTTTTTTGTGGAGCTGGTCTTTTTTCTGTGGACCGTGTTTCTCTTTTTTATGTGGTTTTGGTTAGACCCTTCTTTCCTGAGACCCCTTGGACCCATTGTTTAAATTGTATTAGTTTTTAGTACGTGTTTTTTCTGTTATGCTCATGTCTTCTTTTGACGGTTGTCGTTGTTTCTTTCGACCTTTTTGTTTGCCCTTTTTCTTTACTGTAGACATGTTTTAGGTTCCTTTTCTTCTTTAGGCCGTTGTCCTGTTCTTGTTCTGTCTTTGTTTTCTTGTGCTTTCTTTAGACTGACATGTTTTTCTTTCTTGGATTAGGCCTTTTCTATCTTCCTCCAGACCTTTGTGTTCTATTGCTTCCTTTGTTGGTGATGTGTTGTTCTTCTTTCCTCTTTTTGTGTAGACCCCTTTTCTTTAGGTTCATTTGGGTGCCCAGTTGTTTACAAAGTTGGAAACCCATCCTGAGGTTTCAGAATGGGCACGGTTCGCATTCTTTCATTCTTTCACGCTTTGTTGTGCTTTCTTTTTCTTTTTCTTTTAGACCTTTAGACATGTGTTTTCCCATGCTCTTTGAGGTCTTTTAAGATTGGAATGTGATTCTGGTTTCTGAACAACGAAGTGGAAAGCCATGGAATGCCTCTTGCTCTTGCTCTAAAAATTAGGAAGCAGTCAGTTCAAGTTCAAGCCAACGTTGGACTTATTTGTGGAATTTTGTGGAAAGATTTTGTAAACCAAACGATGAAAGCACTTCATTGTGTCCAGAAGCTTGAAGGCAGAACGCGGTCACTGAGTGGTCGCTTAGGAGAAGCTACCTGAGTTCCAAAATGAGGTAGTCGCCAAATGGAGCTGAACATGTTGAAAGTTCACCGCAAGGACCAGTTTGGCGTCTTTCTGGATATGTTGGTTTGCAGACAACTTGATGAGTAGGTGGCAGGCCATCACTAGTAAGTTGGAGGCCATCGCTAGTAGGTTGGAGGCCAAACCTATTGGGTTGGAGGCGATCGCTATTGGGATCTCCTCTCCTTCTGATTCCCTTTCTTATGCGGGGACGAGTGACACGAACAGCTGTGATCACCGAAGTCGAAACACACCATCATGGATGCGTTTTCTGTGATAGACTCAGAGGCAGACAAGAGGAGGGAGTCAGAGGAGATCAAAGAGAAGAGGGAAGAAGACACTGAAAGAAAAAGGGAGGAAAAGAAGAGAGCAATGGAAAACAGAATAAGACGAAATTCATAGAGACCTTCGAGATTGGAAGGAAGAGAAGAACAGTGCTGGGTGAAATCAACTTCAGGCTGAAAGTTGAGCTCCTCTGTCCATACATCGAAAGTTCAAGTGACACATGCTGGCATGAGATTGCCGCTCAAAGTGGCAAGTTGCTCAAAGCTTTGAAAATACGAGAGCTTCAGTGCTGATTCACGGAAGAGGACGAAGAGGACCTTGGTGAAAAGTGAAACCGAGATCCAAATGGTCCGAACTTGAGCAGATCCGCGTTCACAAAGAGGCTCTTCCTTGGACGAGTCCATTGGGCCCGTTCCACGAGCCACCCCAAAGAGCTTTGTCATTCACCGATGTATGTGATGACCGGTTCCGTTGACAGACAATTGAACGATGGGTAGCAGTTGCCAGGTAATTACACAATGCGTATATGTTGGCATAGAAAGCACTTTGTTTTTCATTTTGCTCATAGTCTTCAAGAAATCGTGTTCGGAGGATTTTGTGGCATCAAAAACGAGATGGCGAGGGTTATTGAACGTTTGGGTGGTTGAGTTGATGGGACTTCCACTTTTGTAGTTGATAGATGGGAGTCCCTTCATCCTCCCCTAATGAGTTATTAGTAACAAGAAGCTAGTAGGTTGGAGGCCATCGCTAAGTAGCAGGGAGCTAGTAGTAACCGGGAAATAATGGAAAGCTATGGTCAAAATCAGCCAAGATCAATGACGTCATCTGCCTGAGCGGTGCCATATGAACAATCATGCAGCGGCTCCCCCGTGCGCACATCCAAGGCGCGAATTGCCCGAAGAAGGTTTTGGTTGGAAATGAAAGAACAATTAGATGGACTTCATTTCATTTGGGGGAGTTACAAGGACGATTTGCTTGAGAAACACGAATACCCGAAAAAGCTTGCATGCTTGCCAGGTTTCTGTGACAAATTCGCAGCACAAGTATGGAAGGGCACCTTTTTGCAGAGCATCCTTTTCAGTCCACCAAACACAACTCGCACCAACTAAGACTTGAAAAAAAGCAAGCAAACAAACAAACAGGAATGCAACCGGCAGTGACCAATCTTGGTTTGACCATCTTTCATGTCGGACTGCGTACAAGGATGGCGCCCATATCTCGCCCGTGGGATGAGCATTATGGAGCCTTGGCTTCTACTAAGGATGATGTTCTCTTTGTTTATCTTTAGTTTGTTCTAAAGTGTTGTTGTAAATTGTGGTCAATGGTATGTGTTTCCCTTCTATTGGGCCATTGTGTTGGGGCACACATCTCGAGCCAGCTTGCACTTTAAAGCAGCCATCACAAGCGACGATACTTAATAGCAATGGCCTCCAACCCACTAGCGATGGCTTCCAAACTAAGAAAGCACTCGTCTGTTTCTAGAAGCATTCTTGACAGTAGGAGTAAGGCTTCTAAGTTTGCAGAAGAATGTAACGGCTCACACCGGTCACACCCTACAACGCCATATTTGGATCGCTTCCCAGCAAAGTCTGTCTGCTTGTAAATCGGGTCTTGATAATGCAGGGTGGAAAAGCACGTAGACCAATATGGGTGTGAAAATTGAGCATTGCCATCTCTAGATTCATCGGTGTGAAATGAAACAAGGTCGAAGTGGTTCCACCAAGCCTGTGAGAAAGCAGTGCCTGCAGATGCTGATCAACATGTTCGGAAGCCAAACTAAGTCCAAACAAGATCATCGGTTGAAAGGAAATGAAAGGAAAAAGGAACGAATGGTCAAAAGCTCTCAAAGAAAAGAAGACGGAAGAAAAGAATACAGACAAAGTATTACATGTGTTCTCTTTGAAGTCGGCGGTTTGCAAATAAGCCATGTAGACAGCCCACAGGTTCAGATTGAACTCGGCCCCATGTGGTGAACGCCCTTCGTCTTTCGGAAGCTACTAGGAACAGCGGACGCTACTAGGGGCTCCTGGCCTTACTAGTAGTAGCAAGGACGCTACTAGGGGCTCCTGGCCTTACTAGGAGCGATCGGACGCTACTAGGACTCCAAAGAACCATATCATTAGCGCGAGCGCTTCTTCAAGGAAGCTTGCCCCGCCGCCCTGGGGGAGTTTCCTTGAAGAAGCACGAGCTCTCCTGCATCCGGTCAGTAGCTACCCCCCCCCGCGCGAAAAAGCCGCTATACCAGCTATTTCTACCTCTAGCTAGCGACCTCCGCGGCCTAGCCCCCCCTGAAAAGAAGGCAGTAACAAGAAGCTACTAGGGGCTCCTGGCATCGCTACTAGTAACAAAGGGCATCACTACTAGTAACAAGTGCCTTACTAGTAGTAACAAGTGCCACGCTACTAGGAGCAAGGACGCTACTAGGGGCTCCTGGCATCGCTACTAGGAGCAAGGAAAAAGCAATTTCTCACTCCGAGGAGCGTTACCGGAAGGTCCGCCCCGTGCCGCAGCAAGCACCGCAACCCTGGGCCCGGACCTTGGGCCCGTTGAATGGAGCTTGTGTTCGACATCGATCTACGAGTTGGACAGCTGCAGATAGCCAGCCCCGAATCCACCTGACCTCTTTTTTCCACCTGGGAAGAGTAGATTAGGATTTGAGACTTAGGAAGAGTAGATTTGGGAGAAGAGGCGAGAAAAGATACGATTCTTCAGGCGACTTCAGTAATATTGTTGTGCAACCCGGTCTACAGGTCCAGTCGGGTCTAGTCAACGTTGCAACATGTTGATTGTTTGAACGCTTTGAGGCAAACAAAACCTATCTTAGATTTAGAGAATGGATTTGGTCACGATGCGTCACACAAATTTGGGCACAGAAGCGAAACGTAGGTGACCCCTCACGAGGAAAAAGACATCAAGATTTTAACTATGCACTTAGCTACTAGTAGCGTCCTTGCTACTAGTATCAATGCACCTTGCTACTGCTAGCTTCTTGCTACTAGTAGCGATGCAATTTAGAATACCTTCCCGCCAGGCACGGCCTCCAGAGTTTGCCGGCGGCCGTGACGGAACAGAGCACGGGGAGAACGTGAAGGTCCCAGTGGAGGAGGAGTGCCGTGGACGCGTTTTTGGTTGCTGCTTGGAAAGATGTTGCAGGGTGAGGTAGATAGAGCGTTCCTGTTTGTTGCAATGTTTCAACATGGCATGTTCATCCTCATAGATCTGGGTTGGACACCAATGGTTTGGTTCCGTGCAAGGCTCTATGTGCGAAAGTATTTGATCACATTTGGGTTTGCAGTGGTTTTCATGCTATTAGGATGGAGACCATTGCTCTTAGGTTGGAGGCCATCGCTATACTTTTGCAGTGTTTTGCATGCAGGGTGCAGCCTGGGTCTACTTGGAGGCTTCACTACCTTGTGACCTTTGTGTGATCGTCTGATCAACTCAAGGGCGTTTCAATGGTTGCTTGACTTTCCAGTCCTAGCAAGGTTGCAAGATTCATTTTGTACGCAGGGCTTTGCAAGGTTGCAAGATTCATTTTGCCAAAAGCTCACAAGGTTTTCTTGTGTGTTTAGGAGTAGAACATCCTTCAAAGAGGTAGGAGAACGGAAACTTTCATGGGAAACTATCGGACATACCGGGAGGTCAAAGCCATTCTGAGCCCTCAGAGTACTTCATCAGGCCTTTACTGAAGCTAGGAACCGTCGACCACGTTGCATGTTGGCGCTCCAACTCAAGACCAGCTTAGAGGTGGAACATCACAGCTTGCTTCGAAAAAAGTTTCCCTCTTACCGTCTCTCACCTTCTAAGACTGGCAGACCGGGGAACGCTATAACGATCCAAAGCGTGACTGGGCGTTTTGTGTCCTGTTACTGTTTCCCTCAAATCGGGTGCACAGCAAACTCTCCCAAACTCTCCCAAGTAAACGAAAGAGGCACTCGAAAGAAGCATTTCACGACACAGCTGATCACGAGACTCGCAGCGCACTTGGACGAACTGTGACAAGCTGGCCATGGCTCTGCGCTTGCTCAGCTTAGTGCAGCTGGTGCACCTGGCTGTGGCCTTCGAGTTCGATGCCGGCTTGCGCGGAACGCCCAGATTGCTGGGTGGGAAGCTAGATCAAGTGCCGGTTGCAAGGCATGGAGAATTTGGCCCAAGAGATGCCAGAGCGGAATTACGTTGATGGCCTCCAACCTAGTAGCGTCCTTGCTACTTACTAGTAGTAAGGCCAGGAGCCCCTAGTAGCATCCTTGCTCGTAGTAGCGATGCCAGGAGCCCTTATAGTAGTGTCCTTGCTACTAGTAGTAATGCCCTAGCTACTAGTAGCGTTCTTGCTAGTAGTAGCCATGGCCTCCAACCAACCTGGTACCAGGGTTTGACACGAGGGGTATGAAACACGCAAAGCACTTCACATTGCCAGTGGACCATGCATCTCCACTTGCAGCACATGCAAGAGCCACATGAA